TGCCATGTGGGTGCTGGGATTCGAACCTGGGTCTTCTGAAAGAACAATCAGTGTTCTTAACCATTGAGCATCTCTCCAGCCCCCATGTAATAATTTTTAAAAGAGATAATGGGTGGATTAATTAATGCAGGCTGAATGTGGACCGTGAGAGGCAAAGACTCTAGCAGGCCCGATTAAGGAATTCCCAGGTCATTTGCGAAAATTACTCCCCCTGCAAAGTGTGGTGTCCACGCCTTTAGTCCCAGCACTCAGGAGGCAGAGGCAGATGGGTCTCTATGAGATCAAGGCCAGCCTGGTCTACATAGCAAATACCAGGCCAGCTGAGGCTATGGGGAGACCCTGCCTCAGAAAGACCAAAAAAGGAAAAATTACTTCCCTTAACACCAGTACTCACAAAGAATAAGATAAAAAGCACTTCCTCCTTTCAGCAGGGTGTGTGGGGAGTGGCCAGCAAAGACTAGGCCTAGAGAATTCTCCTAAATAAGTCCTGTATTGAAAAGAAATGACTCACCCAAAACCTAGGTGACAGGATGCTGTAGCCACCACTCCAGGTGCAGCTGGCAGCTCATTCCACCCACTCCAGCCTTACAACCTCAGCTAAAGTATGAAAGTACTTAGGAGAGTTACAACCTTAGGCACAAGCCTAAGAATGTGGCTGACTTTCTGGGTATGGTGGCATGCATCTTTAATCCCAGGATTCAAGAGGCAGGTAGATAAATGAGTTGAGGACAGCCTGGTCTACAGAGTGACATCATGTCTAAATTATTAAAATTTTTTTTTCTATATCTGTATGAACGTTTTGCCTGCATGTATGTATGCCTGCAGAGGTCAAAAGAGGTTGCTGGATCCCCAGAACTGGAGTTACAGGTAGTGGTAAGCTGCCATGTGGGTGCTGGGAACTGAATTCAAGTCCTCTGCAAGAGCAGGCAGTGCTCTTAACCCTTGAGCCATCTCTCCAGCCTTGTGACGCCCTGTCTAAAAACAACAATCCCCAAACAAAACGTGTATCTGCGCTCATACACACACAACCAGAGACAGAGTCTAACAGAAACAGAAGAGCTGGTGAGATGGCTCGGTGGGTAATAGCACTTGCCACCAAGCCTGTTGACCTAAGTTGGATCCACCCTGGGACCTGCATGGTGGCAGAACTGACTCCCCTCAGTTGTCCTCTGGCGTCCACACGTGCTGGACCATGTGTGCATAAGCATGCATGAGCGCACACAAATAATAAAAACACACAGAAACGCACAGCTGAGACAGTAATGAAGCAGTAGGAGGCAAGCCTGGTGGTAAGGGCCTGTCATTCCAGACACTTGGGAAACTGAGCTAGGAGGATCACAAGTTCAGGGCAAGCCTGGGCTACAGAGTGAGTTCCATTCAAGTCCAGACTATTTAGTGAAATCGTGTCTCAAAAAGTAAAAAGAAGGAGCTGGTTGTGGTGGTGCACGCCTTTGATCCCAGGACTCGGGAGGCAGAGGCGGATCTCTGTGAGATGAGGTCAGCTTGATCTATTTAGTGAGTTCCAGACCAGCCAGGGCTATAGGGAGACCCTGTCTCAAAACCAAAAACAAACGAAGTAAAAGGAGGGCTGAGGCTGTAGCTCAGTGGTAGAGCACTTCCCTAGCACACAGGAGGCCCTAGGTTCCACCTCTAGTACAAGAAAAACAAAACATGACAAAGCGATTTAAAAAAAAAAAAAAAAGCTTAACAGGAAAGAGAGTTTATAATATACTAAAATTCATACCAGTACAGATAGGAGGATGAACCCAAGCACATTATTTTGTTAGATATCAAAAATAAACCATCATATTAGGAATTAAAACAAAACAGGGCCTGGAGAAATGGCTTGCCTCAGCTTCAGGGGGGTCCAACACCCTTTTCTGTTCTCCTCAGGCACTGCGCTCAAGCACATGCCCATAGACACACACTCCTGTACCCCACAATGTCATTTAGCTCTCAGGAGGTGGAGACAGGAGGATCAAGAGTTCAAGGTGGGGACTGGAGAGATGGCTCAGCAGTTAAGGACACTGGGTGCTCTTGCAGAGGACCCAGGTTCGATTCCCAGCACCCACGTGGCAGCTAACAACCGTTTGTAACTCCAGTGGCCTCTGTGGGTAGTACATACTTGTAGAGCACTAATCTACATACAAGCCAAACACACACACACACAGTTCAAGGTCATCCTGCCACTAAAATGTGGACAGTCAGGTAAGATTTGCCCCCTGATGCAGTGGGGACAAGAATGATTTAACTGGCTCTGACTGGGTGTGAGGCCTGTACTGTAAACTTGGTCACAGCCTGTGGCCAGGCAGGTCACAGGCCCCATGGAAGAAATCTACTACTGATCTCCTAAATGGATATGTTCACCTGCCTTCTAAGTATGTGAGTGTACACCCACTGACTGGCACAGCTCCAGTCTTGGGCAGGGAAGCATTTTTTGGCAGATCAAAGCAGACACCAATAACTGGTCAAAGTAACTTGAGTACTGAGCCCTGAATGGGACATTTATTACCCCTTCTGAGGCTCAGGAGCATCAAAGAAGAGGGGCAAGCCTGTGTTGAGTTGGAGGTTGGCAGACGGATTCTCTAGCTATGTACAGGAACCCTCTGTGCTGGGAACTGGCTGAAAGCCTGTGGCCCAGGTATGCTGCCAAACATCATAGAAAAAGGAAGGGGTGTCCACATACTTGCTCAGGGGTTCAAGTGGAAGGCGAGACACAGGGTCTCCCCTTGTCATTTCCTTAGGACTGTTACTAAATATTTATTTTATTTTTATTAATTTTGTCTTTTTGAGACAGGGTCTCCCTGTAGCCCCAGCTGGCCTAGAACTCACTATGTAGACCAGGCTGGGCTTGAACTCCACCTGCCTCTGCCTCCTGAGTGCTGGGATTAAAGGCGTGCGCCACCATGCCTGGCTATTGTTTTTAAGTGTATGAGTGTTTTACCTGCATGTATGGAAGTGTTCTATATGTGTGCAATGCCGGCAGAGGCCAGAAGAGGGTGTTGGATTCCCTTGAACTAGAGTTACAGATGGTTGTCAGCAGCCATGTGAGACTGGGAATCAAACCCAGGTCCTCTGGAAGAACAGCAAGTACTCCTAACGGCTAAGCCATCTCTCTAGCCCCTAAATATTAATCCTTAAAAGATGCCAGGTGTGGTTGTGCAGGCCTGTGATCCCATCACTTGGGAGGTGGAGGCAGTCCAAAGCTAGCCTCAGCTACACAGCAGTTTCAAGGTTCACCCTCAATACATGATACTTCAATATTGTTTCAAAAAAAAGGCTACAGGTAGACATACTGCCTCAAAACAAAACAACCCCCCAAATCCAAACCCAACCCAACCACCAAATGAGGTGGCATATGGGCATGCCTGTGATCACAGCACAGAGGTGGTGGGGATGGGAGGGTGTGTAGTAGGTGGTATTTTTTGGGGGGTACTAAGTCAGCTTAGTCTACATAGGAAGCTCCAGGCCAGACAGTGCAGTGAGACTCTGTCTCAAAAAACAAACAAAACCCCCAAATCAAACAAATAAAAAACTTTGGGCAGGTGAGAAGGTGAGATGCTCGGCAGGTAAACTGGAGGACCTGAGTTAGAATCCTGAGACCCACATGGTGGAAGGAGAGAGCTGACTCCTACAAGCTATCCTCTGACCTCCACATACAGTGGCATGAGTGCACACACCCAATAAATACAATAAAATGAAGAAAAGAAAAACTAGCCTCCCAACAACTTGAAACTGGCATTGCAGTTCCTGTAGCCCAGCAAGCCCGGCCTGACATGCCTACTCAAAGAACACCAGGCTAACAGAATGAATGTAAGGAGCCGCAAGAGAAGAGGAGGCAGAGGCCATCACTGCAGTGAACTGCATGACACCTCAGTGTGGGTGTGGCCCAGGCCTCCATGAACCAGAGAAGGCTGGACATGTGCATCACTGCCACTGCAGGAATACATCTACAAAGGGTTACTACAACCCGCTCCTTTTTCTCCCCCATCTCACCCACAGGGACAGGATGGGCCAGGAATAAAACACAAGCTTGCATTCTAAAAAAAATAAAAATAAAATAAAAAAACAAAACCCCTAACTCTTGAAATTGTCAGTAGGTTGGAACATGGCATGGAGGAGCCCTAAGTCTGTGTTCTGAGCCATGATCATTTACTCTACAGCTCCAGAATAAACTCTTTTTTGTTACATTTATTTAGTCTGTGTGGAGGCCAGAGGACAACTTGCAGGAGTTGATTCTCTCCTTCCACTATGTGGGTTGGGGGATCGAACTCAGGTCATCAGGTCTGGCACCAAAGGGCCTTTACCCACTGAGTCATCTGGCCAGCCCCTAGAATAAACACTGCTTTTCCCCTTTGATGTGAGAGCTGTGGTTCTGTGTGGACAACAGCTTTCTGGGTCAGGCCCTCACAGCTGTTCTCATGTGGCACAACCATGCCCTGACTAGACCAACTCTGGAGGCACTATCAAACTGCCAACAGCTCAATTAGATATTAGCCTGTGTTCATGGTAAACAGCAACAAAAACACAAACCACGGCCCCTTTCCCATTTGTGTTCCGGAGCAGCCTGGGACAAAGAAATGCTATCCCCTTAACTTAGGACATACCCTCCTACATCCTTTAAAAAACCTACAAGTCCAGGTCTATCCTTTCCAAAGTCCCACTTTTTGCCTCAAAACTGATCAGTAGAACCAAAAACATTTATTAAGCTGACTTTCAGTAAGTTTCTCTCCAAAGTGGAGAGATTACTGTGAACACATGCAATCTCAGCACTTGAGAGGAGGCTGAGGCAGGAGGACCATTAATTTCATGCCAGCCTGGGCTATCATAGGTGAGTTTGAGATCAGGTTGGGCCACATGGTGACCCTGTCTGAAAAATAAAAAAAAACAAAAAGGGAACCTCCCCTGCAGCCTGCGATCTTTCTAGTAAATTCAATTTGTTCTTTGACAGCTTCAGGCCTGATGAGACACACGGACTGCTCTCACCCCCACCCTCCTCCTACCAACCCTGCCCTACAAATTACCTCACAGCCCTGTCCATTTGTTGCATTCCTCCTGGGACCCACAGAGCTCCTGTGGTCTTTAAAACACCCTCGGGCTGAGCCAGCAACACCCAGCCCGGACTGACACCCCAGGGAAAACACTAGTGTACAGCACTTGCCCTCCCCCACCCCCATCTCCCTCCTCGGCTGTCTTCTTGCTAAACCTGTTTGCTTCCACCACTTAGGGAAGAAAAGCCCTTGGGCTGAGACGGCTCAGTGGGTAAAGGCACGTAATCAAGCGCTTGCCAGCGAGCCTCCCACCCGCTAAATAAACATTGAAGAAAGAAAGGGCTGGAGAGATTTCGATTAAGAGTACTTGCTGCTGTTCATGCAGAGCACCCGAGTGTGGCTCCAGGCATGCACACCGGGTGGCCGACAACCACTTCTAACTCCAGGCGATCCAAGGCCCTCAGGGGGCACCTGGTACCAGCTGTACATACCCCTCCCCCATACACACAATTAAAGATATAAGCATAGGAGGGGATTTCTTGGGAAGAGGGAGGGGTAAGAGTTCTGGAGGTGAAAGTGACTAAAATTATGTGGAGAGATGGCTCAGTGGTTAAGAGCACTGGCTGCTCCGACGACCCGAGTTCTGCTCCCAGCACCCACAGGGCGGCTAATTCTAGCTCCAGTTCCAGGTGATCCGACGCCGCGTTCTGGCCTCCGGAGGCACTGCACGCTCTTCCGGCCTCGGGGGGGGGGCGGCGGCACTGCACACACGTGGTGCACTGACCCGCAGGTGAGACATACAGATAAAAAAGAAACAAGGCGGGGCGTGGTGGCGCACGCCTCTAAACCCAGCACTCGGGAGGCAGAGGCAGGCGGATCTCTGTGAGTTCAAGGCCAGCCTGGTCTACAAAGTGAGTTCCAGGACAGCTGGGACTACAGGGAGACCGTGTCTCAAAAAGACCAAAAAAAAAAAAAAATCTTTTGAAAGTAGAATAAAGGAAAAAGAAAACAAAAAAACAAAACAGGGGTCGAGGTGGTGGTTCAACGGGTAAAGGCGCTTGCCACCAAGCCTGACAACCCCAGTTCGAGCTCCGCACGCACGAGGTGGAAGGAAAGTACCGACTTCTGGAAGCTGTGCACTGGTCTTCACGCGCCAGTCCCGCGACACAAATAAATGAATGTGATCAAAATCCTCAAGACAGCTAAGTCCCGAGGGGCGCCACGTCTGTCCTTGCACTTGAAGCCCTAACAACGTGCCTGCGGTTTTCTCTAGTGCAGTTCCGGGGCCTCCGCGCTGCCGCCCGCGCAGAGCCCGCTCGTCCCTCCCGCCGCCCACCAGCCCGGTCGCACTCACCATCCCGCGCTCTCGCCGGTCCCCTCTCCTGCCGAGATCGCTGCGGGTCACGAGTGTGGCGCACCGCTGAGTCGGAGCAGAACATGGCGGTGCGGGGTAGGAGGGGTGGTGGCCCGCCCGCTGATTGGACAGCTCCCGAGACCTTTGCAGTTCTGATTGGCTGCCGCTGCAAGGCCCGCCCTTGCACCCCGATAGGACTAACGGCACAGGCCGGGAATCCGGAATTGCCCCTGGGCTGGGCCTGCCCGGGTGGGAGGGAACTGCATTCCAGGGCGCACTCCGGAGATGGGCGGGGCGACGCCTCGGTCCTTCCTGCGCTGGGCTCCTCCTGGGGCCTCTGGAGTTGCAGGATAGCCTGGGCTGCATAGTGAGACCCGGCTCTAAAAATCACACAAGAAAAAGCACATTTATTTGTGTTGAACTGGGTGTGGTGGGCACAACAGTCATCCCAGCACTGGGAGGTGGAGGCAGGAGGATCAGGAGTTTAAAGCCATCTCTGGCTGCACAGTGACTTCAAGGGTACAACTTGAACAAGTAAGTTTTGTTTTGTTTTTGAGACAGGGCTTCAGTATGTAGTCCAGGCTGGCCTGGAACTCGCTATGTAGACCATATTGACCTCCCACTCGGGGATCCTCCTGCTTCTGCCTCCTGAGTGCTGGGATTAAAGGGCATGTGCCACCATGCCCCGCAAAATAAGTTTTGAGATGATGGTGCACACCTGTACCTTCTGCCCTCTTTTGACCTTCGCAGGGACCTGCACATGCCGGCACACAGACATACACCTATATATAATAAAAAACACGATAAATCTTAAAGAAGTTGCTGTATGTATCAGTCCTGGGAGTGGACAAATGAGTGTATTCCTTCATCAATCAAAGAGAAGCTGAACTGATGACGCAAATAATGTAAACTAGAATCTTTTGTGTGGAATATAATTTCTTTTTTCATTTTGGTCTCCCTGTAGCCCCCGCTGGCCTGGAACTCACTATGTAGGCCAGGCTGGCCTTGAACTCACAGAGATCTGCCTGCCTCTGCCTCCCAAGTGCTGATAATTTCTTTTTAAAAAATTTTTATTTTATGTGTATATTGCCTGTATGTATGTAAGTACACCCCTATGTTGCAAAGGCTGCTGAAGTCAGAAGAGGGAGTCAGATACCCTAGAACTGGAATTACAGACAGTTTTTAGCTGACATGTTGGTGCTGGGAATTGAACCTGGGTTCTCTGGAAGAGCAACCAGTGCTCTTAACTGCTGAGCCATCTCTCCAGCTCCTGAAGTTAACTGATAATTAAAAAAACAAACAAACTTCCCTTTGCATGTGTAGTGTGTGTTCATGGAGGTATGTGTGTTCATGTGTGGGCACATGTATATGGGTGCATGAGCACGTGAATGTGGAGGCCCAAGGCTGATGGGAGTGTCCTTCATCACTGTCACCTTGTTCATTGAGGCAGCGTCTCTCATTCCAATTAGACCATACTGATCTGACTAAGGTAGCCAGCCAGCTTGCTCTGGCTATCAGTCACTGCCTTTTGGGGGGTTGAGTATTCAGGGCTGCCATGTGCAGACAGTCCTGCCACTGGGGAACAGTCAACAAGATATGGCAAAGTCTATTCTTGGCTGGCCTGAAGGTTGAACCTGCACTGGACAGTTCTTCAGTCTTCAGGTACATGTTTTTCTCTTAACTAATTCTACTTAGGTGCTGCAGATACAAATTCAAATGATTAAGGAGACTATAGTTCAAGAGAACTTGCGGTTTTGTATAAAAGTTCTACAATAGGGCTTCCTGCTTTGGCACCAGGTATAAAAAGCATTATAGTTCTAAAGCACCTTCTTGGCCATCAGCCTGCAGATTTCCTGATCTCAGCTGCTTCTGTGTCTTTTTTCCTTCCTCCCCTAGCTTCTCAAGTTTAAAGCTGGACTCAGGTTTAAAGCCCGACAAACGCTGTGCCCACCCAGCGTTTATTTGGATTCTAGGGATCTCAGGCTTGAGTGGCAAGTGCTTTGCCCACGGGTCCACCTCCTCAGTCCCTGCGTTATCGTTTCTATCAGATGGAAACCAAGCTTGACTGACCTGCTGTCACAAGTCTCTCAGGGCTTGGGGATCCCGGGAATAGGTGCAGAAGAAATCAGGACACAGGGGATGCAGAGGACGGTGTACCAATGCATGTTTATTTTGAACTTAAGAAAGTTTATATAGAAAGCAGATCTGGAGGAACCAAGGAGTAACCAAGGATACATTACTTTACCAACCGAAACTCACACAGTGTTTACAGTATCTTAGATAAGCCACCTCCTCAAGGTGTTCTGTTTGTTATTACTCTTAACTATTAAAATTCATTATTTCTATATATGAGCCAAACCTACAGTACTGAAACAGAGTTATTTATTTCTGTTTCCTAGACTACAATCATAAGGGAAGCATAGTCTGTCAACTCAGACCACATAAGCAAAGAGGAGGGAAAGTCCTAGGGTGGAAGCATTCTTCCTCCAATTCTCGGTCTGCCAAGCTTCAGGTCATTAATTAATCAGGCCTTGACAACCTGCCTTCACCTCCCCAGCACTGGGGTCATAAGCATGTGCCTCCCACCTGGCTTTCTTTCTTTCTTTCTTTCTTTCTTTCTTTCTTTCTTTCTTTCTTTCTCTCTCTCTCTCTCTCTCTCTCTCTTTCTTTCTTTCTTTCTTTCTTTTTTTTGAGACAGGGTCTTCCTATAGCTGCAAATGGCCTGGAACTTGCTTTGTAGCCAGGCTGGCTTCGATTTTACAGAGATTGATCTGCCTCTGCCTTCTGAGCACTGGGATTAAAGGCATGTGCCACCACATCTGGCAAAATAAATAAAATTTAAATCTTAAAAAAAAAATCTACATCTGGGTGTGGTGGCACATGCCTTTAATCCCAGCACTTTGGGAGGCAGAGGTAGGTGGGTCTCAGTGAGTTCAGGCCAGCCTGGTCTACATAGTTCCAGTCCCCCTGGGATTACAAGGAGACCCTGTCTCAAAAAAACAAAACCCAAAACCAAACCAAGCCAAAACAAAACAAAAGAAAACAAAACAACCCCCCCCAACAACAACGACAACAAAATGTATCTACAAATGAAAAATCAAAATGTTTAACATTCACTGACAAAATTAAGCTGTGGGGCTAGCAAAACGGCTCATTCATTGGGCAAAGGCGCTTTCTCTCCAGCCCGACAACCTGAGTTTGATCCCTATCCCTGGTAGGAGCAAACTGACTTCTGCAAGTTGTCCTCAGACCTCCACATGCATGCTGTGTTACACGAATACTTGTTTAACAAGCAAGCAAGCAAGCAAACAAACAAACAATCAAATAAGATCTCAGGTCCTTGGGAAAAGTGGTTACATTTGTCTGGCTTCTTCTTTCCTTGCCCCTGCCCACTGTTTTTCTCTGTCTTCATTTATAACCCTGCTTGGGTCTAGTTGACCTACTGAATCGATTTCCCCATTATGCAGATGGAGGATAAAAATGGGGATGACAAGGTAAGGGGAGGCAGCAGCAGGACAGAGTTTTCTAGGATTGGATCGTGACAATGCAGTGCCCAGATGTGACCACTGTGTGGCAAAAGGGCTCTAAAGAGGCAGTGACATAATGGTCTCAAAGCTATCTTTTTTGTGTGTGTGTAACTATGAAGTCTTGGAAACTTTAAAAAAAATTATTTACTTAGCTGGGTGTGGTGGGCGCATGCCTGTAGTCCCAGCACTTGGGAGGCAGAGGCTGGCAGATTTCTGTGAGTTCAAGGCCAGCCAGGTCTACATAGTGAGTTCCAGGACAGCTGGGGCTACAGGGAGAAGTAAACTAAAAAGAAATTCTTGTTTTGCTATTTTTAAAATTAAAAAAAAAAAAATCACGTGATTAGAAGAAGCATTTCATTAAAGCATTATCATATTCAAAAACAATTTCCAGAACAAAGTTGTATCTCTTTCAATACTGGCTGTAAACTTTTAGGTTCTCAGTTGAATTAATACAGTTATACAATACTGAACTCAGTATAAACCCTATAAGACATAAAATTGAGGCTTTAACCTTTAAAAAAGATCTCCACTTCATTTTAAAATATGCTGTTTCATACAGAAAAATTCATTTCTAATGCTACTAACACTTGGATGTTTGCACATGGATCTCTAATCTCTATGTATCTGATTATTACTAGTCACAGTTGGTTACTTTCTGAGATCCACGTGAGCATGTATATAGAATCATCAGGTAGATTTCAATGGTAATGTGTTTCATCTCTACTAATTAACAAGGAGCAAATTTTTATGCTTCTTCCTCAAATATAACTGATTTTTTATTTGTTGATTTTTTTTGTGTATTTCATACAGAGCATCCCAAACAATCGTAATCATCTATTTACCCACATCCCAAATGGCACCCTCCCATAGTCTCCACCCCCCCCCACTGGAGCCCATATACCCTGTCATCTCTGTTAATGTCAAATGTGTTGTTGGTGCCCCCAGCTGTTCTCCAGTGCTTGTCCATCCGCTGAACCTAGTCAGCCTATCTAGAGAGCCTTGTTTTAGGAAGATCAGCTCTTCCTCATCTAGCAGCGATAGGTTGTCAATATTCCTTTAGATAGGATTGGGGTCTGCTGTTCATTTTCCCAGTTCTGTGCTGGGTTATTGTCTGGGAGTCTCTTGGGCCACCCTGGCCAACAACTCAAAGGAAGGTATCTCCTGTCTGGCATTGTTGCTTGTTATGTAGCCTTTAGCTATACATATAGATGCTTAAAAAATTGTATTGATCCTTTAATCTTTGGTTATACTTTCCTTTTGGGTGTTTAAGGCCATACAGTTGTCCCAGATAAACCAATTTATTTTTACTCTTAAGGTCGTTTGAGGATCTGTTCCTCAGGGGTCACATGGGCTTGGGAGGAGCCCCTGGCTCCTTTCTTTTACCAGTTCTGCCTATGTGAAGATAAGTCAAAGGTCCTGCTCGACCATGGCTGGCTTCTCTTGGAAGCAGGAAGGAAATGATTCCTCTGTGTTGACCCTCCTCATTGTAGACTGGACACTGGTTCAAGTCCATCTGGTGGGGTCTCCTCAGCCTCCTTGATCAACAGGACAGGTGACCCACCACCGTTACAGGACATTTTGAG